TTTTCTCAACACCACACAAATGGCCGATACTCCGGTTTTTGCTGGTACAGGCTCATATGATATCACGGGTTGTCAAATTAACGCCAACACCTTTGTGTATCATAGCAAACACGTTCCCTATCCTAATACCGTACGGGGCGATAGTATGATAACTCGGGTAACCTCAACAACAGAAACAAAAAAAAAAAAAAAAAAAAACTTATCATAATACACTTTAAATCTTGTATCCCATCCATCAACATCATTGACAGCTTTCATCCCGTGGGGTGCGCTCCTTGCCAGCAAGCAGGTTGTGCTGAAACCAGAGGAAGTACCCTCACAGATTCCCAGTTGGGTATATCATACCTGGTCGCTACGCAAAGGTATTCGCATTGATTCGACACCCCGCGGTACAGTACGCACTTTTGCTGACATCTTTCCCAAGATATGATTGACTACGTCACACGAGTGATCATTCATGACGGCGGATGAAAACCTCTTATGCCATAATCACAGCGCCCTGCGGACCGAGAGTCTACTACTATACGAAATGCCAAAATCATATCATAATATTATTTACAATATATATATTTCTCAAAGGGGACGAAACAAGCAACTCACTTACCAGCTTACCGTAATCAAAAAAAAAAAAAAAAAAGCAAAACCTAAAAAGTTTTCAAGTCCAAATATTCCCCCCCCCCCCCATGAATATTTTATCATAATATTATTATCATAATTATACACCCCCGTGCTACCACTGTTTTTACCCAAGGCTCTACTTCCTAGGCAGCGGCACCGAGGTGAGTCCAATTGGCGTGAGACCTATCATACCGGTGGTAGGTTGTTTTAAACGACTATGATACGAGAAACGACGACAATGAAACTGTGAGTATCATAAGAACCAGCGAAACGGCAAAGCAACGAAATGCCAAAGGGAACGAAGCGAGATGATTATTGGTCACTCTGAAGAACCAGGGCCTATGTCGCCAACACAAGAAATTGGAAAGGAGGGCGAGTTCACTCTCGTTCAACACTCTCCCTCGCCCCGCTCGCTCTGTCCCCCAAAACATTTAAGTATACTACCGTAATGTAACTAAGCGGAAATGACCAGAGTATATATCATATCAATCACAACAAAGGTATCCCTCCTATGCCAACAAAAATGACAGGCTTTAAGAGAAAGGATAGGCTTCGTTGACGAGGACCCCCAAAAGATGAATTCGTTCCCTACCACACCTGTGCTCGAGCTTTCCCCGGTATGTTTCTCGTGAAGTTACCGTAAGCTAGCCATGGGCCATGGTCATGAGCTAAATGAATAAAATTTAGAAGCTCGGTGTTGATACTTGATTTTTCCTTTTTTTCCGAGACTGAGATTCCTTATGATACTAGTACTTGGACCCCAACCTTACACCTATGTGCAGTCTATTGTTAATCACCGGTGCATACTGAGGAGCTGGTTGCAGAGTTTGTGGCGAGGTGGTGTTACAAGGAAATGTGTTTTGGTCATTCGGGAACAGTGAAGATTTGGGGTGACATGGTATTATTGCGAAAAAGGAGAGAAATGTGCGCAGGCTAGTGGTGAAGGAGCAAGAATTAAGCACTATGTATTGATGATGGAATTGCGGTGGCAGACATTGTAAGGGATTGGAAAAGGACAGTGTGGCAGTTATGTAAAATGGTAGACATGATGTGATCGTGTCAAGACTTACACGAATGATGAGTATGGTTATTTGTACTTAAGGGCACCCTGGCCCCCGAAGTTGGAGACGATAATAGCAATACAGGATCAGATTCTACCCCAGTTTTTATCAGTCCTCCAAAGTATCTTACAAAAGTTAATAATTGAGGCATCAGGCCAGAGAAAAGACAAGAGAAAAGAAAGGAAAACCGAAACCCATTAAAAATAATTTGTACTGTACAATGCGCCCGCTGCAGAAAAATGACTACCCAAAACCCATGAACAACAAAAATAACCCCCCAGAGGATTAAATATATCACACTAAAAGAAAAGTATACATGTAAATAGTGCCAAAGCAAAAGAAAACATAAAGCGCCCACCAATTTAAACCAACGCCAACCTAAAAATTCAAAAAGTCAAGTTGCAAACTATGTACCAACAAACCAAACTCAAAAATGTGATAACAAAACACGCCGACGCCCTCTCCCCTCTGCCTTACTACCTATCCATCGCCTATCCTACCACTCTCCGGCGTTTCCAAGTTCCTCACGTCCCTGCTCTCCCACTCCTCCACTTCCTCAACGACAAGTCTTCGCTCATCGACGACGAGTCCAATCTCTCTGATAAACTCCTGGGTGATGGACAAAGGCCTACTACTCTCCCGCTTCCTAGCGACGCGGACCATCTCCAGGACTTCTCCTGCGTCGGCAGGCATCGCCATGGCTCCGTCTGGTTGGTTGTGGTGGTGGATGCATAAGCTTGTCTTGCTAGTGCCGAACAGACTCCCACCACTCCCACCTCTTGCTCCGGTGCTGGTAAGGCCTAATTCGGAGGCAGCTTCGCAATACCCCAGATCGAAGGTGTTGGTTTGGGAGCTGGTGTTTAGCTCCGCAATGTGTTTCAGGTCTTTAGGAGGAAAGGTCGGCGTGGGTACCGGTGACAAGTGGTGGTGGCGAAGGTGGCTGTGGGATTTGGCGCATTTCAGGTTTGGAAAGAGGCGGGTTAGGACTGCTTTGTAGGTAGGTAGACAGGCACAGATCATGCCTGCACTGGATTCTAGGGATGTTAGGTTTCTGGAGGTGCTGTCGTTGTCTGAATTCCGTTAGAACTGCTTGTGAGAGGGAGGGGGGAGGGCGATATACAGGTTCTGTCATCGCTGGCTCGTGGGGCATGCGCAATAAAACCCATCCTTATGATACTGATAATGCACGCGCTACTTTTATTACTCACTGATGGTCAATACTAGTTCATCCCCTCCATCGCCTTCCCAAAAACAAATAGCAAGGACAACCAACAAACTGGCAATAGCAAAAATTCCCACAACCCACAACTTCTGCCTCCTGGCCACCGGCACCGTCCACATCATCCAGATGGGGAAAGACAGCAGAACCAAGTCCGTGAAAACGTTCCCCGCACAATTGTACCAAGTGAGAACGACCACGGACATCCGGCACTTACCCACGTCGGCGGGAAGGCTCAGGTCGTAAGCCTTGCTTATAGGGTCGCATTGGAAGATCCAGATGAAGATTTGAACGAGGTAGTTTAGGAATATGAAGACCAGGAAGACGTAGTTTACGCGTCGGAAGGCCTGGTCGACGGATATGCGGAGGTACAGGAATACGAGGGAGGTCTTTATGAAGCAGAATTCGAGGTTTACGGGAATGGCGCTTAGGTAGATCAGCTGTCGGGTATGGGTCAGCTTTGGCGATGTTGAAGGGGGAGGAGAGGAGGACCCTCGTATATGTTGGGAAACCTTCATTAGGGACGTATTTCCTATGCGAACCGCCGCCGTAATGGATCGCTACATGGAGACCACCCGTCAATTCACGATCAAGCAGCACAGCTAAACACTGATCAAACAAACAAACAAACCAGCAAGAAACATTCCAGTCCGTATAGCCATCAACAACTACAGTAACCCTCCCATATCAATTAGCATCAGCGCCCAACCCTTCCCTTCATCCTTCACTTTCATCCCATGGAAGCAACCACCGTACATACCCAGGCAATCAAGATGCAAGCTATCGCCAAAAGTCAGCCAATCGTCCCTGCAAGGGAAAAAGAAAAACCCACTATCATCATGCCCAAAATGCTTCGTAATCCTACACCTGGAGTAAATCCTTACCCCAATGGCAAACGAGCTCACGACGAATAAACAAGTCTGTAACGCCACCATCGACGGCGCCTTGCTATCGGGTCCGTACCCAACAACCATCGTGAAGGTGCCAATGTAGTACGAGCGCAGGGCATTCCCAGCTCCCTGGATTGGGATTTAGCAGGAGCAAAGGGGGGAGGGGTATATACAAGCAGGAGTAGGAGATGGGATGCGGACATGGTTGTTATATCACTTTTATTGTCATTATTAGAATTACAGGATGGTGTGGTACCTATGTAAGGTACTATCAAGTGTCAAGCTAGGGGAGAAGGGAGGAGAGAGAACACTATTTTCGGTCATGAGGACTTTCATAAAGATCAGCAGGAAGGAGGAGGAGTGGAGTGGATAAAGTTCCAGTATGACACATTACAACTAACGAACCCCCCCCACGCACAGCATCATGCCGGTACTGCACTCGTACCTTTAAAACGAAAACATAGCGAAAAAATAGACGACCAACAATACAAATCTAGTCTCCCGCCCTCACCGCCTCGAAAACCTCGATCGTGGGAGCCGAAGAAAAAAAGGAATGAAAAAGGCGGCACCAGCCGCACCCAACCCGCGACTACGGTAACGATACAAATACAGCACAAATCCAACCATTCGGGACCCGTGCACACCCAGTACTCGAGTATGCATCGTGGGGGCGTTAATCTCCACTATTATTGGCTGGATGGGTGAAACAGAAGGAGGAGCGGAAGCGCGAACGGGCCTCCTCTTGGTTCGAGTGTTGCGGGATCGGATTCGGGATGGGATGGGAGATGGGAAGGAGGAGGGAGGGCTTGGTCGGCGGTGGGGATTGAGGATTCCGAGGTTGGGTTAGGATGGCTGCCAGGGCTGTGGGAGGCGTGTGTATCATAAGTATGATACTGAACTGCGCTTGTTGAAGCGAGGAGGTGGTCATGTTGTCTCACTCGGGTTCTCGCCAAACTCTAGACTTTTGGTACTCGAGTACGGTACCGTATATTGGTATCATACTGGTATTACAAGTCTATCTTACATCGCGACCAATCCCCAAATTACTATAGCTATCGTACTCATACTCTACCCAGCGCCCATCCACCGTGCATTTCAATTTATAAAGTATCCGGACGGTTTGCTGCCAAGACAAGTGCTAATCAATGCCCAAGTGTCCGAATACTTTACAAGCTGCTGAGTATGATACCCATCAACCAAAACAGGAACCCCTCTAGTTCCATACCGGTACCGGTGGGCTATGATACCAAGCAACATCACCAACACTTTACTGGCCACACTCCTTCTCACGTCCCGCCCACGGATCACCCTCCCCGAAACCCAAAACCCAAAGCCATCCACAAAAACGCCCCCAATCGACCCCCCAACCTTCCACCAATTAAGCCTCTCTGTTCCAATCTTCTCGGGTCCAGGTATGACATATCGGGGCTCTAACCTACTCGGGTAAACCTTTCCTACTCAATTTTACCATCGCCATGGTGCGGCCCGGCGAGTGTTTGCCTGACTTGACTTGAAACCTCGATTGCGGTGGGTTGAAATGATATCATTTTATGACGAAGAGAGGAAGGCGTTGGGAGAATAAAATTTATTTCGTGTGCGCGGGAGGGAGGGAGGGAAATTTCGTTGGGGGTGAAAGGAAACTAATAATATTATGAATACCGTATGATACGTGGAAGAAAATGAAAGCAAAATCAAAGAGAGGCCCGATTGCTTGCATGCTTGGGTGAAAGTAGTGGAAGGAGCGTTGTTTATCAGACGCCGATGCTGGGCTACACGGACCTGTCCTGTGCTTGAGCGGAGAACTGCAAGACTCGCAGTAAGCTGCAGCCCTGCACTTCGGTAGCACACTCGAAGACCGGCGGAGCAGTTCGGAAATCCCGGCCGAACCCTCCTCCGTCCTAATAACCAGAGATGGCCCACAGACTCCCTCCTAACCTCGTCAGACCCACCCACCACAAAACGACGTGGAACCGCACTTCCCATCACCTCCAATTAATCCATCCAACCCCGCAAATCACCACGCCTAACGCCCACCTCGCACCCCTCACCAGCCCCACTATACCCCCGCCCCCGTCACCAGTACTCTGCACAAAACCACCAACCCCATTACCCCCTCCACTTGCCACAACCCCGCCTTCACTCCCCTCCGCTATCTGCCCAACGCTCTGATTCCTACCATCACTAGAGGCAGTAGGACTGTGGGCGGTGGTGGTGTTCCCGGGGGCCGCCACGCCTCGACACTCTGTCCTAAACTCGCAGCAGGCGACGGCGCCGGCGTCATCGTACCCGCAGGTGTAGTCGACAGGACAGCAAAAGGAGGGTTCGGAGATTGTAGCGCAGGAGAGGTGGTTTGGTGGGCATTTTTCGTCGGCGCGGGACGCGGTGGTTGGGTAGATGTGGAGCATGGCGAGGAGGAAGGTGGCTAGGAGGAGGTGGAGGTGGATGAAGTGTTGAGAAGGCATCGCTTGTTTGTCTGGTGTTTGTCTGGCTACGGACGTGCTCGCACAGAGGGGTTGGCGCTGGTGGGATTATATTCGGTGGGCGTGGGAGAAAAATCAGAAAAAGCGCTATGTATGATGCTGTGGAACTTCCCTAGCAAAGCACAACACAGCGCAGGGTGATACGCACAACAAGTTAACAAACCCGTGATATACCATCAACATGATACATTATCACACATCCTGCTTTCCTGTCCTTCGTTGTCACGCCTGCGTTGTCTCACCGCCCGGTTGACACAGCACTCATTGGCCAATCACCGTCCTCCAACTCCTCCCAACCAATGAGATTCCACCTACCCGCCTTGTTCGCATCCTCGGCTGGAGCTGTTTTTTCGGTTTTCGCTTTGTTGTGGCTGGGCTGAAGTTAAGTGCTGGATTGTGAATTGGCGAATTCATTGCCAATGGATGCTATTTTGGATTGGGGTGCGGAAACATCGAGATATGGGTTTTGGTTTTAGGTTTTGGGGGTTTTCTATGCGCGATATTATGCTGAGTTAGCTGGCGTGGTTGTTTTTTTGTTTTTTCAGAGAAAAAAAAACGGGGGAATAACTGATATTTGGGGGCAATGGGGTGTTGGCAAAGGAATCTCTAGGCAGTTGCGTGTGACTTTTTATCTGGTAGGATATCTTTTTCGGTATGATATTCTCTTTCCTTTGTCGATCACGAATACCTACTCAGATGTTCTGCTGGGGCTACCGTACTCTCCGGTATTCCACTAACATTATAAATTTAATTTCCATTTCCTAACGTGCCCATTCGCTGCGGTTGTGCATGCGGTGAAAATGTCTCCGATACGACTAAACCTTGATTTTCCCCTCCCGAGTGATGTCCCATGACAACAACAGTTAGCCTGCAAGGGGTACTGATGTCTAGCGAAACCCCCTTCCCCACTTCTTCTGATAATTTGGAGAAATTACCAATTGGGCCAATGTAATATCTGGCCTCTTGAGAAGCGCATAAGAAACAGCCTGGCTTCCACAGACGATAGTAATCAGCCGGAAGGGAAATGGATGAATGGTCGGAAAAGGCCATGTTTGCGGAAGAAGAAAAGGCGTGTAAAAAACAATGCGGCGAGTTCGTGCGAGGTGCTGTAAGCGTTGAAATGGCTAATCATACAAAGCCACGTACCTGGCCAAGGCAAGGCGGAAGAGGAGATACTACCAAGTACGAACACTATATACAGACCTCATCCCCAGGTTCATCCTGTCGTCTTGGTCGCCTGGCTGTTATGCTCACGCCCAAGGGATCTCGGAAGAAATGATTTGTCTCCTCCATTTCTGGTTCCTCAATCACTTCCGCTTGCCGCTCTCCACGGAACGATCAGGGCTGTGGATTCCCGCTGTCCCCCAGAGGAGCTGACGAGAGAATCTCTCGTCTCAGCCAGTAATTTCCTTGCGAGATAGGATGGCCCAGTCGGCGGATGAGTAGGGGCTGGTGGTTCACTGGGCCTTGGTGGCCGCATCTCAACGTATCGTATGAGGGAGAGGAAAGCCGGGGGTACGCCATAGCCTAAATCAACCACTAGGCCTATAGCCTCGGCTGGAGACATTGGAGGGCTGTGAGAGGAAGGCGGGGTTCCAGGTTCTGGAGTTGGGGAGCTCGGAGAGGGTTACTCTCGGGCAGTGAGTGGGATGGATGAGAATAATGTGGAGGGTTCTGATACAGAAGTGAGGCGTGGAAAGGATTCAGTGATGGGGGTCTTGATATCTTGCGGGGACGATCCAGGTCTCGGGAGTGCCGAATCGGAAGGTTCGGGGGTTGGGGGTGGCGGTGTTGGGGTTGGATAAAAATGTTGGGTTGGGGAAGAGGGAGAGGGGTGGATAAGGACTGGTGGGTGGGCTGGAATCTTGAGTGCTTGCCGGGGGCGCCTAAGCTATTGGCGGGGTATTGGCTGTCACTAGTGGTGTCACTTGGACTGGACGTGAAGTGGCGATAAGGATTTCCGTGGGAACGGGAGTAGACGTCGGCTGAGCAACTGGAATTGGTGTTGTCTGTGCTGGAGGCGGGATCGGGCTAGTGGAAGCATTGTCGGGGGTGGAGTAACAGAAACCGATGTTGATATCAGTTGAGGTGAGGGCACCGTTGTAGCGGGCCTTGGTATTGCCGCCGTTGGCTGAATAGCAATGCTTGTAATTGGGGGAGCTTGAGCTGTGGCTGAAGGTTGGACATCAGCATCGCCGGTCTCGTCTTCCTTCCCATACTTTCGGCCCTCCTCCTTGTTTCTATTGCTACCCGGATTGTCAGGTGTATCAGGGATATCAGGAGTATCTAGACTATCTGGTGTATCTTGAGGTCTAGGGACTGGCATCCAATATGAAGTAAGTCGTCTGATCAGCTTATCCGCGGTGGGAATCTTACCCACTCTCGATGCTACTATTGGAATATTCAGAACTAAAACCAAAAGACATAGAGCGAGGACGATAGCAGTCTTTTTTTTTTCAAGGGGTGATACCTCCCTCTTAGGGTCCTCATGTTAGGTATTTGGCACAACCAGGTGCATACCTCCAGAGTATCCGTCTGCTGCTTTTAATCTTGCACTTGATATCATACTAGGCGTCAATTAAACATTTTGAACGTTTCGAAATAAAATTATATCTCCCCAGACACAAGCCTCCATCCTATCTATCCTCACTTCTATCCTCACTTAACGCTTGTAGGTATCCCATCTTTGTGGTGCTAAGGCAAAGGAACCAGGGGGGGGGGTTAGACCCCGCGTAGTGAGTATGTATGCCAACGGAAAGTGCGGATGAGGAGCCATAGCTGAAACCTATGATACCCCTTCACCTGAGCGATGTGACTCTGGTATACTCAATGGAACTCAGCGCTTCTCCCCATATGCAAACCAAAGCGACAAGCAGATAAATGAAACGGTGCCCCACTAGCACAACATTATTTTGGATAACTTACCGGGGTATTTTTTTGCCGGATAATTTCCACATCCGAATCAGATCAGAACGACTGGTCCTGGGTAGAATACCGGTACCTGTGTTTGGACTGGAGGCATAGACCTTACAGGTTACGGGCAAAAAGTACCTGAACACAGGTAATTCTTACTAAATACTTGTAGACTACTACCGAGGTGGTGCCCCAGACGCACATCCTCGCCGCCACAGGGGTAGTTTCCGGATCGGCGGTGATGGGCGGTGAATGTTGGCTGGAGCTTAAGTTTAGTAGGGCTTCAACTCTCTCTAGCTACAAGAATCAATCAATAAGGTATTATAACTCACGGAAGGAAGGGAAAACTGACTCGAGTTAGACTCTCAGTGTGAGACTCAAAAGTGTGCCTGAGACTCGGTTTAAGTGAGCACAAAGACATAGCGCCTGGACCCAAGCTAATACCATGCCCCCGATCTCCTTAGATGCTAGAAGTTCTGGGAGCTATCTGGTTGATGTTAGGAAGCTTAATTATCAGTTTGCGATGTCTGGGGGAAAAGCTTGACATTAGGAACCCCTGTACAGTACTCGAGTATGATAGAGAGATGTTTGTTTTTCTGTAACTTAGCGAGCCACGGGCAAATTGGCTCGTCAGGTGCGACGTACGGTAGCGGGAAACGCCAGAAGAGACTGGAGCGTTTCTGAGGATTGTGTTCGGAAGCAATAAAATCTGGGGGTCTTCCATAGCTAAATTATCTGGGTTCATCGTTCACTGAGGAAGATGCAATATTAATCAGTCGTTCTTGTCTTTATTGCAGGATAGATGTGTGTGCACCGATCACGTGTTGAGTATATATGCACACTCCCCTTCTAAAGTATCATATCAAAGAGAAAGGCGTTTGGCCTCAGTGATCTTCAAATCCGTACGTGCCCACTCTGTCAACACCTAGGGCAGGATATGGCATAAGGTCCAATAGTGTCGAATCACCGAGCCCTGTTTTGCAAAGGGCTGTAGGTCGCGAAGTGGGAAGAATGGTCAAAGCCTTCTGGGAATATTATAGAGTATAAGTGTATAAGTTAGTAAGGGGATGAAAGTAGTGGATGAGAGGTGTAACCTAAGAGATAGTCAACTGTAATATATATACTGCCGTAATTTGTATAAGAAATACTGACGACACCCCGGTCCCCTCATATACATATAGCCTATCACGCATCCATGTACTATGCGTGGTGCTGCCTTGCGCCCCCAAACAAGTCCATTTCAAGGCAAATCCTGGTTAATGGAGGGAAACAATGTCAACAACACATACTGGAATCTCTCCCAAGCCATCATTGGTTACATCACTCTGATTATATCCTGCTCTATCCCATGTTGGACTGTATGATAGGCACTAGATACTTGCGGATCTTGGGTATCTACTGGAGGTTGGGATCTCAATTATGGCAGAAATGGGTATACTCAGGAGCCACTGTCCTCACTGAGTGAGCGCGGCCTCCTTATTTGAACAACGATACCAACCAGACCATCTCCACAAAGCATGGCGGTCCCTAGAGCTGTAATTTGGGCGGATGTTATTGGGTAGGTTGGGGCAGGCCCCTCAGTAGAATCACCTGGAAAGGCTGGAATCGGGGTGAGTCCTGTCAGGTGTTTGTCCTTGCATGAAAACTGGGTAACACCGTCTATTATAAAATCTGGAGTAGAAGCTTGCCGGTGGATGTTCTTGGAAGCATAGTAAGATATCCTTTGTAGGGGTATTTGTCTCGTTTTGGACCGAATTCATAGTCTTGACTTCTTCGAAAATTTTGCATTGAGGATTTTAAATAGGGCCCACATAATATCATAGTAATTTATAAAGCGATTGTCTTTTACGTCTGGCTTATCAGCACTCTGCCCAATATGACGATAACCTTATCGCAATCAAATCTCTGACTAGACTCTGATTACGAGTGACAACTCATGATTACCGGAGAACCAATGTGGGGTATGATAGCTTCCCGGTAGGGTACCAGTATCATATCCTAACCATCCGTCCTGTTTTCGCCACCAATCAACGATGAAAAAACCTCAAACCCGACGCACCAAACCAAACCACAGAGATCCCCAGAGGACCCGGGCGCAAACTCCTCTTCTCCCTTATTTTCCCACCCCATCAAGTCATAACACAATTCCATTCCAGATCTCTGCGCCGTAGTAACCTTACCTCGCTCCCTTCCGGACGAGTACTTGTTCCATCCGACCTCACCCACGCTTGCGCCCCCCAAAAAGACTCGACGTCACCCTCTCGCTTACATAACAGCCATCCCACCAACCACATCGACCATCACAACCAGCCGCCACACGACAACTCCGCCAACCACCATCACCACCACCACCACTATAATAACATGCGCCCACCAAGAGCCATCCTCCCCGCCGCGCGGCACTATCGCTATCGCTACATGTCCAGCAGCAGCGGCAGCAGCCACAGCCACTACGACCCGCCAAGTGGGTGGTTCCTGAATGTTCCGCCGGGAGAAAAGCCCGTGAAGGAGGGGTGGGAGAACATTTTCTACTGGGGCTTCTTTGGAAGCTTGTTTGCTGCGGGCATCGCATATGCCTATAAGCCTGATACTTCGTATGTTCTTGTTTCTTTTTTTCCCTCCCCGTTTGCGAGGGATGGGAGGATGGGGGGCTGATGATGTTTGTGGATGTAGTATTCAAACGTGGGCACTTGAAGAAGCTAGGAGAAGATTAGAGGCTGAGGGGATTTTGGAGGACCCATCGAGTCCGGGAGCTTCGAAGCATGAGATTAGGACTGTGTCTGGGCTTGGGCGTGGGGGGAAGGCATAAGGGGAGTTCGTTCGGAGGAGGGTTAGTGTTGGATAGATGTTCTGATTGATGGGGGGTGTAACTATTTGGCATTTTTCCTTTCTTTTTTCATTCAAGTTTTCGTCTTTGCTAAACCTTTTACCCTACGATTTCGAGGACTCGATTGCGTGGTATTTTTCTTCTTGTTCTAGGAGGGGGTTTTTTTTTTTTCGTTCCCCGATGGATTGTTGGATTGCGGATGGATTGGTTAGACCGGGCAGGGGATTACGGTGTAGCGATTTCTGTAAAAAGGGATAAAAACACTCAAAAAAAATGGGAAAAGGGAAAGGGGAAAGGGGAAAAAAAGGAAGAGACATATCATTTCTATTTGGGTGAGCATGAATGCTTTCCCGGAACAATGACTACAGTATCTTATGTCGAAGGGGGAAAAAATATAAAAAATGGTAAGAATCTAATTTTCCCTCAACACCCCACCCCGAAATTGAAGGAAATAAAATGGAAGAAAAAAAGGTATCTATCTAGTTTAAATTAGAGGTGGTGTTGGGGAATAACGTAACTATCGAATTATTCGTTTGCATGACTATTATATCAAAACGGAAGATGGATGGGTGGGGAGAACTAACCTCCAATCACTCTCGACGTCCCCATACTGCCTCTGCTCCATCCACTTCCACATTCTCTCGGCGAGCATGCCCGCTTCCTTACCCTCCTGCAGGGGTATCGTAATGTCTCTAGGTGTACCACCAATGCCGCCATCCCAGGAAATGAGTCTAATCGGTGATACAACTGCGGCGGTCCCACTCCCGAAGGCCTCGACCAACCTGCCTTCATCTGCAGCTTTAGCTACCTCCCCGATGGTGAATTTACGCTCGCTAACCTCCCAGCCCTCCTTAGTGAGGTGTTCCCTCGCGAGTGCAAGGATGCAGTCTCTGGTGACACCTTCGAGAATAGTTCCGTCCAACGGAGCAGTAACGATTTCCTTCTGGCCTTCAGGGGTGATCCATGCGACGAAGAGGTTCATTGTTCCCACCTCAGTAACATATCCTTCCTCGCCAAAGAGCCAGAGGTTTTGATGGAAGCCACGAGACGCAGCGTCAAGTTGGGGGACGATACAAGGTGCATAGTTTCCGCCGAGCTTCATGTCTCCGACACCGCCGGGCCAGGCACGGATGTAGCGGCTGGTCGCCTCAAGACTGACTGCTTTGAATCCAGTAGGATAATACGGGCCTACCGGGGAAGCAATAACAAATAGCAGTGCACTCCCGGGTTTGCCAACACCCAAAGTGCTCTGGGTTCCAATCATGGTGGGTCTGAGATAGAGGGAATAGCCCCGCTTATCCGGAATGAACCTTTGCTCCAAGTTAACAAATGCAGCAAGGCATCTGGTCATTTCTTCAATAGAGAATGACGGAAGAGCAATGCGAACAGAGGATTTATTTAAGCGCTGCATGTTTTTATGAGGGCGGAACATGCGGATGCTGGACTTCCCGTTCACGGTGGAGCGATAGGCCTTCATTCCTTCAAAGCATTCGAAACCGTAGTGGAAAACGCAGGTTGCGGGATCGAGGGAGAGGTTTTGATATGGAGTTATCTTAGGGGCGGCCCAGCCAGATCGAGCGGTCCATTCGATAGATAGCATGTGGTCTACATTCTTTATTGTAAGATTTCTTGGGCGATGTGCAGTAGGGAAAGTGGGGGTACCGGTGAAGTTGCGCCCAAAGATAAGGTCCTCTGGTTTCATCAGAGCCTTTGGTGTTTGGGTGCGGGTAATGGTCAATTTTGAAGCATCAATGTCAGGGATGGTTTGAGTGCTATAGGCTCTCAGGGCCTGTGGGGTGCGAATCGCCCGGAGGAGGGAGGAGCGGAGCATTCTGTGGAATGCTTAAGGACGAGCGGAGAGTTATGGAGGAAGAATAAGAGGTAGAGAGGAGAGGGGGTGAGGAGGGCGAGAAGGGCCGATGCAAGGGTGGGTTCGACTACCGGTATCAATTTGGGTTAGAACACGGAAATTGATGGTGGGGGTAAAAGATGTGCCATACAGTAGTTCTGCTTGAGATAAACAGGCATTAGAAAAAAAAGAAGAAAAAAAGGTGCTTGATACAATTATAATAAGAAAAAGGTTTCGTGAGAAATTTTTGATCTTTTGGTTTCTATAGTGCAGGTCTGGAGAAGGGTTCTGCACCTTTGTTATTCGGTTTTAAATGCGATTCGGTAGCATAGAAAGCACTCGGGTACTATTCCAAGCCCCTACGGTACTCGAGACCTCGAGCCTCGGCATTTGCTCCTGCAGAGGTTGCCTCACGGCAATGTCTCCAAATTGTCCTCAATGTAATGTCCTTGGTGTAATGTTTTATTTATTATGCTGTAGCGTGTAATGTGCGCGGTGTGGTGTTCTATTTAGTGTAATGTTTTTACTCATTCAGGTACTTTGAATTCAAATATTCCCTCCTTGATCAAGTTCCATACGCCTTTCTAGAATTTACGCATTTTCAACGTCCAGTTCGGTGCCAAATCCTAGCAGGTGAGAAAGAAAGGGTAATATTGAGTTGTGGGTAAATCGCAGAGGTCTTATCATATGAGGTCCCTGTTGGCACATATTTTCTCAGTATGATCGTGTAGTGAAAGTATATTGTATATCGAATAAATAATTTAGGGCTTGATATCAAGAAACAAATTTCATCATGTAGTTGTTTAAATAACGCAGAATTCACAATAATTAATGTATGAAAGCAATACAATATTATAAAACTTTTCTTCTTTAACAAATTCATATCTTCTGAAGAGCAAAATCTCAACAGACACAGATTCTGATAGGGATTCGAGTGACTTAATAAGCTCTAATTATGTCACAACTTGTGACTGTACCTTTTGAAGCGGCAGGGTAACTCTTGCTTCGCTACGGTTTTGATAGTGATAGTCTTTACTATAATTATACTCAGATATACTCTCGCTTCCTATATTGTGCCATTTAATTCTCACCGTGGGTGTTGTTCTGGGCATTTGCAGCAGCTGTCAGATTGTGGAAGCGCCCATGTCGATACTGTCACCAGCCTGCGTGTTTGCTTGCTCAGCCCAGCCTCCCTTTCTTCCTTTAATACAGCATCAACTTCTTTTGTACCACCTTAGACTTCATCTCCTTATCCTTCTCCTTATCCTTTAACAGAGAGTATCGCTCTGGCTTCTCCCCTGAGGAGATAGAGTATAACGGCAGAAAATGTTTGCGAATGCTCTGAAATCGTTCACTTCGAATATAACATCAAATTACACGCTTTCACCTTCCCCGAGCGGCCATTCAGGGCCCTGGAAAATTTATGATGCAAAAAAAAAAAAAAATCCGAACCAGGCGGTCAGTGTCTTTGTTTTTGAACGAAAATCTCTTGATTCGGGCGGGTCTTCCGGCGGGCTTTCTCTCCGCGGGTCCAGTTCCAAAGATGGTCTGAGGGCAGCCCAGGACGAAGTGGTCGACCGATTGAAGAAGGAGGCAAGCCTGCTTGCCCGCCTACGACATCCTTCTATTCTCGAGCTTGTGGAACCGGTGGAGGAGATGAGAGGTGGTGGGTTGATGTTTGCAACGGAACCGGTCATGACGAGTTTGGCGATCCTGCTTGCGGAGAAGGATGAGGAGGAGCGGAGCAGTGGGGGGAGATATGTTGCCGATGATGGGAAGGGCGGGCGGAGGAGACGAGAGGTTGAGATTGATGAACTAGAAATTCAGAAGGGGCTACTGCAAGTTGCAAAGGGGTTGGAGTTTCTACATGAGAGTGCCTCACTTATACATGGGAATCTAACACCGGAAAGCATAATACTCAACGTCAAGGTCAGTCCTTTTTCTCTGAATCCAAGGGATAGGTTAGGGAGTGCTTGTTATCCATAACCTTTCACATCTTATATAGCTTCAGTGATTATAGCTAATTTGTTATAGTCCGACTGGAAACTCACCTCCTTCTCATTCACAGTGACGTCTGTCAATCCCCCACTCCCGGCACCCTACGACCCTCGCCTACCATCATCTGTTCAATTATCACTTGACTACGCATCTCCGGACCTAGTACTTGATCAGAATTTGACACCTTCCGCAGATTTGTTCTCCCTGGGTCTGCTAATTGTAGCGCTATACAATCACCCGCACCGCTCGCCCTTAGAAACACATCATGCAACGTCAACATATCGCAGATTGTTGGCCTCCGCCTCTACTACACCAAATAGTGGAAACAACTATCTATCTTCTCGTCCACTCCCACGACCACTTGTTGAGACGCTCCTCTCCAGACTGCTAACGAGACGGCCGGCAGGTAGGGTTACAGCGTGCGGATTTCAGCAGAGTCCCTATTTCGATAATATACTTGTTTCAACCCTGCGATTTCTGGAAAGCCTTCCTGCCAAAACTCCGTCAGAGAAATCGTCCTTCATGCGCGGGTTGCTAAAAGTGCTTCCGCAATTTCCTAGGGGTGTTCTTGAGAAGAAAATCCTTCCAGGACTTGTTGAGGAACTCCGCGACGGCTCAATGCTAGCTCTAGTTCTCCCAAACATATTTTTAATTGCGGAGAACGCTAGCGCAAGGTTATTCTCTGAGAAGGTGCTTCCGAAGCTAAAAGAAGTCTTCATAAATCACGTTCCGAGCACGACAGAGCACAAGACCGCTGCTGCAAAGATCGCTGAACGGGAGAGGGAGTCTGGGCGTGAAGGTGGGCTAACAGTGCTACTATCAAACTTAAACATCATTAAGGATAAGACTACTGCAAAGGAGTTTAAAGAGGATATACTATCGGTACATCGCGCTGCACTCGAGTCGCCAACCCATGCCTTGCAAGATTTGGCCCTGCGCTCCATTCCAACAATCTTGCCAAAGCTTGACTTTCCGACTCTAAAAAACGACCTATTCCCCGCTGTTGCTAGCGTGTTCACAAAGACCTCATCCCTCGGGATTAAGATTCGCGGCCTAGAGGCTTTCAAAGTGCTCTGTTCGCCAGCTGCTGCCGCAACCTCGGACGCACCGGAATTAGATAAATATACCATCCAGGAAAAGCTTATTCCATTATTGCGTGGAATCAAAACCAAGGAACCCGCCGTCAGTATGGCGGCACTGGACGTGTTCAAGGTCATTGGCAAGACGTGTGATAGGGAGGTTGTCGCCATGGAGATTCTGCCATGTCTCTGGAGTATGAGCTTTGGGCCCCTATTAGGCGTAGAGCAGTTCACGGCGTTTATGGAGGTTGTGCGGCAGGTTAGTTCTCGGATTGAGGCAGAACAGGTACGGAAGCTACAGGAGCTTAGGACCGAAGGGGAGAGTGGTGCTGGTGCGGGTGGCATTTTAAGCTTCGGAGGAATGCCCGGGATAAGTTCCGGAATTACCGGAGGTGGTGGGGACGATAACTTTGAAAATCTGATTTTCGGAAGGGGAGGTGGGGATAAGTCTTTGCTCGTTAATAACGGTGGTTTCGATACTCCATGGAATAGCACAAATGCAGGCGGGGGTGGTACGGTTACGGCACAAAGGTCCGAGCCAAGGTTCAGTTGGTCTACTCCTTCCTCGACGACAAATCTCCATTCCTCCTCCTCGTTCTCAGGAGAAGTATTACAACCTCAGCAGCAAACTCGGACGATGACCCCGGAAGCTAAAATGAGCTTCCAACCTCTAACTCCAACCTCTCCATCTCACTCCACCGCCTTGAATTCGATGAGCAAGAACGCGTTCTCCAACCTCAACCTAGGTTCAGGTTTTGGGAGCACGACGTCTCTGCGCCCTCAGCCTTCCCACCCACAGAGTGTTAGCAGTACAAGTTCCAGTGGTGGTGGCATAGATTGGTCCGCAGCAGCGACAAGACGGAGCTTCTCTTCAACAACTTCAAACACCCAAACCAGCAGTCTCTGGGACACCCCGCCATTAAAGCCCACACAATCACCCTTGGGTGGCGGCTTCAAACCACCCGCCCAACAGAACCAACAACAGAATCACCCCACAATTCTGTACGGTCAGACAAGACAACAACCCGCACCGACTACCTCAACTGGGGCGTTCTCTGGCTTCACGATACCGCCGCCACCGGGAGCTGACACAAGTAGCGCAGGAGGGGGAACGCCTGGAGGAGGGTTTACATTGACACTTCCGACTAGCATGAATAAGAAGAGTACAGAGAAGAAAGGCTTAGACGCCTACGAAAGTTTACTATGATTTGTTCTGTTTTTGTTTTTTTTCTTTTATTTTTTGTAAAGGTCACATTATTTCCTGTAGGGAGGGCGTTGTAGTAGGTATAGATTGGCCGGAGTACTTTTTGATTAGTTTAATTTTCAAGCAAGCAAGCAACAAAAGCTATGCCATACCATGCCTTCAAGTATTTATTCCCCTTTCCTTCCTTTCCTCATTCCTCCTCGTAGAAATCCCCTTGATCTTCTCCACCGCATCCTCCAAATCCTCGTACCCGAATACCGGAAGCCTCCTCTTGCGCAACAATGCGCCCCATACTATCACCATCCACCCCCCTTGCCCCCATTAACCTAACAACAATTGGCATGCTGATGCCTACCTCCCCGAAAACGAGTGCTATTCCCCCGGCAACAGCATCACAAAGCGTCAACCCACCAAAGGCACCAGCATGCAGCACTTTAGCACTCAACCGATCAACACCATCCTGAAAAATTCCCGGATAGTCTCGACAGTAGCTCTCCCACTGGTGTCTGGCATATTCTAGAGGGTAGGGCGTGGTGAGTTGGGATGTCGAGTGCGTTCATGCTTGGTCCTGCGCCTCCTACCATCGTTCCAGTTCTCGCCGTGGGCGATGGCTATTATGTACGCTTCGGTTGCTGTTAATTGCTCCCCATCCTCTCGGCAGAATGCCGGGTGTTTGGAGAAGGGAGATTTGCGGGCAGGTGTTGATACTAGTACTGGTTGTAGGATGGGATGGAGAGGATTTTGGATCGGATGTGGTACGGTCAATGTTCAGGGTGTGGAGTGAACTTCTCTGGTCTTTGGGGTTACTTATTGGGTTCCTTGGGCCTTCGTCGGGGAGTTTTAACATTCTTGAACCGAATTATGCTAGGTGGGAGACCATTTTCACACTTGCATGGGATAACCGGGTGGTAGGAATATGGTTAGGAGTGGGAAGAGTGATACATGGTGAATATAAGGTGACTTATAATACGATACCGCCTGTATGATATCTTTTCTTCTATCGCACTGCTGAATCACCGGGGCTGAGCCACCGGGGGCTCTTACCGCACCTACGCGGCCAACTATTTTGCCCTCTTCGGTGGTGAGTCCAGCAAGGAGCCCATAACCGGCCCATCACATAACATCAGCCCTCCTGCCCTCCATCCTACCCCCCTCCTCCATAATTTAATCCCAGAGGGCATAGTATCATACTCACTACTCCTAAACCGCTCCTCTCCTCCTCCTATACCGCCACGACCCAAATTTCCACATCCCCGCCAACTCCCCCTAATAACCACAATCGCCCACTCCAACCAACGTCATGCGCACAGTCCAATCCCCACCCATACCCACAACGAATTTCTATCATATGCCGCATAACTAGTCGCAGCAACGGCTTCATAACTCAACGCCCCGATTTTGCGCCGATGCCGACCACACCGGGTGCGAAGTCAGGGTGCGGACATGGAGCCGATCTGGTGGCGGGCTGCGGCGTTGATGATACCCGGACAGTTTGCGCCGAAGGGGCGAAAGCGGGATTGTGATTTCGGATACGCACTCCGCTGGGCTGATATCGGCGGAATTTCGGCGGCTATGGACTCGCCCCTTGATTGCGGAGGCGGAGGCGGAGGCAGCGGTTGCCCAGGGGCTTAGGTAGTGGGCGGCCTCCGTGAGCTAGGTGTGGTGTGCGGTGTGAGAAGGTAATATCATAGTTATGGGGCCACTTTTACGATAGGAAATAAAGGTAGCCTAAGGTATTCGCCGGGCTTAGACTGAGCCCGCCGCCCGGCCATAACGCCTAGCGGAGCATAGCATATATATCATGGTAATCGTGATTCTACCTTTTCAGATAGCCAGAAGAACCACCACCCCCCAACGATCTTGGTCCCATGCTCTATCAATTGGACCATCACATTGGCCATTCATCCCCCCGAGGTCGAAAAAGTGCGTTTCGAGCGGGTCCACAAGATTTATATGCGGAAAAGGCCTGGAGGACCCACATAAACATTTTCTTTTTTGAAAAAAATGAAAAAAAGACCCGGGGGATGAATGCCCATTAACTCTCCCTGTTCCACCCTTCCCTTTCCCCAAAATGCAGTAAGAGCGAGTACCTACAAACCCGCGAACCCCTGATGTATATAACGTAAGGTTTGAGCTCTCCAGCGGCTATGCAAGTGTGCTAAGGGGTTTACGCTGCGGCACAGCATCTGGGGAAGGGGCTCTACGATACGTTGTATGTGTGGCCGTGGGTATCATACCCGGTCTGGAAGGAGTGGTCGAGGTACGGTGCATGGTGGTAAGCCCCCCCCACGAGGTCCGACCGGTCTGATACAGTACTGTGGCCGAGTACGGTGGTGTATAGTACGGCACAGTATGATACCATGCCGGTATTCATAGCAAGAACTGGTTGAAACATACTCATAGATGACGAAAAAATAGTTCTGCATCGAAAGGAAGTCTTACGAGACCTCTTAACTAGGACTCCCAAAGGAATTCCACCATGGATATTATTGTGGCGGTCAGTCGCTCACTCCCATTCATCCCTTTCGCCCGATAGACTACCACGATACCGGTGGACTACCGGTGTGATATGTACTTGTACTCGCAGGGTGCGGTTGTCATTGGTTGGCCGGCCAACAACCCCATAATTTACCCCACACAATTCAACCCGTCATCAATGTGCCCCGCCAAGCCCTACCTTCCCCCACACTCTATCTCCCACGAGGTTATGACAGGGTATCATAGTTGCATACTAATACATCTCCTCTTCACCACCATCGTCTTCGTCGGCGTCTTCTCCATACTCTCTCTATCCATCTACCAGCATTACAGTCTCTCGGGGCTTATGCATATATTGTGACGGTGTCAGCATAGTCCGCAAGTGCTCCACGAGTTAAAAAGTCGATTCGACACCAGTACGAGTTAGAGGGAGGAGGCTTTCAGCAGTTGACCGTGTACCATACTGTATAGTATTGTACGAGTAGTGGATACATATTGCCCCGTACCAGTGTCGCACGATAACCTACACATCTGTAGAATACCATACAAAGCACTCATCAGGATGAGCAAACCCTCACCAAATGGTTCCAGCCCCCCCTCCTCCCTCCCTTCCTTCCCCTCAACTATCCCATAGGCTAATATCATACTCACAGACCTCCCAACAATCCTCTCAAACCTAGCACTCACCTCCACTTCCGCCCCAACAAACCCTCCCCGCAGACTAAAACGCAAGCCCAAAACCCTCGACTCGTGGGAAGACGCCTCCATTTCATCATCACCATCCTCCTCGGAAGACGAATCAGATCGCCCCTCTCCACCACCGCCAACGCCCACGACACCCTTCACCCAGACGCACACTAGGAATTCGTCTTCGGTGTCCTCGATCGCTTCCCCGCGCGAGACTATTACTACTCCCGCCGCCGTCGTGCCCGCGGCGGTGACGGCGGGGGAGAGGGGTGGCGGGGGGGAAAGGCCCGTGACGACGGATGCCGTTGCCCGAAGGATGATTTCAGCCTCGTTGGGTGTTAGGGCTAAGAGCACCAAGGAGCAGCGCGAGTACGACGCGGCGGTGAAGGCTGCTGAGCGGAAGAGGAGGGAAGGGGAGAAGGAGAGGGGTAGACTTGAAGAGGAGGAGAGGGAGAGGGTCAGGAGGGGGATTTGGGAGGATTAGATTGGGGTATTTGGGGTATTTGGGGTATTTTGGCTAATTTTTTTTTTTTTTTTTTTCTGGGGGGTGGGTTATTAAAACGGAGGAGGGTTATTGAATGTTATTATGTTATATGTACGAGAAGATGAGGTCTCATCAAGGAAGTAAGAAAGAAAGTAAAAAAAAATTTTCTTTCCCCACGATAATTCAGGGCTGCAGAGCGTAAAAAAACCAGAGCCCCGCAAACCAGGCTCGAAGATCAAGGCAGTTGATAAAACGAGTCCATCATCAAAAAAATTTCCTTCGTAAAGAGTTGCGGGCTACTAATTCGCCATCCCGGTATTCGAATTGGAAAATCAACTGCGGTAGAGGTAAACCTGGCATGATATCGTATCTCCACCGATTTTGTTGCAGGCGGTGGTTGTGGCCCACACCAACGCCAAATGCCACAGATAGTGCAAGCCAAGCCAAGACAAAAATCACATCTGATGATTCGGCGGGGCGCCGGGGGCCAAATCCTGGGAAGCCACGGCGGCATGAGGTTGAACCGGGTTGTGCTCTGGCGCTTGCTTGGTCCTTTTCAAAAGCGGGAGCTTCACCGTCATTTTCCCCATTCCCCCTCCTTCCTTCTCCCAACGTGGCTCTGACGACGTCGGCTACCGTACCACAATATACAAGTAGCGGGTAGATACAGTATCATACTTGGCAGTAATGGCGGGTTCGAATAAACTTAAGCTAGCAATCGTAACCTTCCCCCCCCTCCCCCCTCCCTTGCACCGCTAACTTTCTTCTATTTTCTCCAGGTCCTCCTAACAGTCTCGGCCTTCCTCTACAAAGCCATAACTCAACGTAGCCCACTCTACCTCCTTGCTCCTCCCTTCCCCCTCCCCCCTTCAATCTCTAGCAGCTGCAGCAAGAACTTTCCAGAGCTCTTACGAAATTGCGAGGACTTCTCCATCCTTCCAAACACAACCCTACTATTCCTCTCGTGCGACCGTTCACGTCGAGAGTGGTATCACGCCTTCCGCGCGTTTCCCCCTGACGTGCCGAAGGGCGAGATATTCATCTGGGACTATGACAAGCCGGAAGTCGAGCCAACGCTGTTGTCCGGAGCAGAGAGTCTGGATGACGACTTTCACCCCTTGGGGGTCAGCGCTGTACCGAGGGAAGAAGGGGGTGAGGTGAGGCTATTCGTAACGAATCAGGCAAAGAAGGAGGCCAGGATCGAAGTGCTCGATGTGGACCTGGAAACCAGGACCGCGCGACACAAGCGCAGTCTGACGGACGCCAAGATATTCTCCCCGAACGGCATAGTCGGCGTCGACGAGAACTCGTTCTTCATCACGAATGACGGCTTCTTCTCAAGAAGGTGGAGCACAGCTCTCCTGTTCGAGGTCATCCTTGGCGCCCCTGGGGGACAGGTCGTGCACGTCTCCATCCCCCCATTAGCCTCCGCGACGGGCAAAGACTCGGTGGACGCTTACAGCGTCGCTTGGATCTCACTCGCGAATGGCCTCGCACTCGACCATGTCAAGCAGAAATTGTACGTTGCCAGCAGTACGCATGGCGTGTACACTTATTCAATCCCGGATATGTCGCGCCCCTACCTTACCGTTCCGGAGTCGTTCCATCGCACGCCCTTCGCGACGGACAATCTGCATTTAGGTCCTACTAGCCGCCTGTTCGCCAGCGGGATCACCTCGCTCGGTGACTTTGCCACGAGTATGCTCTCCGAGGGAATTGTGGGCCCCGCAGCATGGACTGCGGAGTTGCTACCCCGGGTGGATCCTAGTGATAAGAGGGAGGCAGCTCTACGCGCCTTGGATCCGGCCAACAGCCCGCTCCGGAAGGAAGAGTGGGTGTGGAGGAGTGTGTACTTGGACGATGGAAAGTTCTTTGGCGGGGTTAGTACCGGAGGCATTGTGGATATGCAGGGGACGTTTGTCGGGGTTAGTGTTGTGGGGAAGGGAGTCTTGGTTTGTAAGAGGGTTATCGAGAGGCCGGGAGTTCTTGTTGGGGAGGAGAATGTTAAGGAGGAGTTATAGATGGTTATCATCGGGAGAATAGCAGTTCAATTATTTGATTTTCTTGCGAGTCGATGAATATATATCTTGTAAAATTTTGCGCTCGGGTAATCCCTCCCTTGCCCAAAGGCAAACAAGCACTCTACATCCACAATGGTATAACGTAATCAATCTCTTGACACCGGCCTACGATAACTTAAACCTATCCTTCGCAAGTCAAAAACCCATCCATCCATCCACCCTTGCTCCCCACAAAACATCACTCATAATCCTTTCCAGCCCAAATATCACCACAATACATCCATCCACCTTAGATAATTGAGCCGTGTGTTATGTCATTCCGGTTATGATACCTCCTCTGGTAGGGTGTGGCATTATTATTATTATTATTTTTGCTCGTTTTTATGTCTTGGGGGAACAGGGAGCTGGACGGCTCACCTTTTGCTGTGCCTTTTTTTCGCACTCCTTACCTCCAGGTAAGAAAATCTTGACCCAGCGCAAGGCCCAATTGTTCGAGATTCTACGGCACCATAGCTCATGTCACGCCTCCCCAATACTTAAATCACATGGAGCCCCTAAATGATATTTCATCCAAACTGCCACCCACGCAACCCAAACCAGATGAAAACGAAAAACGGAATAACCCCCCCCCCCTAAGGAGCCTTATAATACTTTGTCTCTACAAAAGGCATTTTTGTCACAGTCCCGCTGCGTTCCTTTCCACGAACCTTGATACCAACTTCAGTACCCTGCTTGTGGAAGCCGCTCTGGATGTAGCCCATAGCAATGTTTTTGCCAAGGGTCGGGGAGGGGCAACCAGATGTTATTTTCCCTGTAGTTGCTGGTGTTAGCTCTGCAGCGAGGGAGGTGGAGGAAATCGGTAGGCGTAATACCAATAACGTCATCCGTCCCCTTCTCCACAATCTCTGCGTCTTCTCTGGCTGGTGGACCCTCAACGATAAAGCCAACCCGGCGTCTAGGAACAAAACTCCAGCTGTCGTATTGTCTACTGATTATTTCTGCGCCGAGGAAATTGCTAACCCACGGTTAGTATTTAGTGAATTAGTCTACCTCGGAAAAAACCCACCCATCCATAGCTCTTGTCTTCCCTACTAGCCACTTGAGTCCCCCCTCGATTGGTGTAGTAGTATCATCCAGATCATGCCCATAGAGGCACATTCCTGCTTCAAGTCTAAGACTATCTCTAGCTCCTAGACCAGAAAGCCTAATCCTATCACCAGTAGATCCTACATCCAACAAGCCCATAGTAACCGTTTCAGTGTTCTTTTCAGAAATGGAAATCTCGAATCCATCCTCTCCGGTGTATCCTGCACGCGCAACGTGTAGTTTTTCACCGAGAGATGGAATCTCAACAAACATTGAAGTGCCAAAGTACAGTTTCGAAAGATCTACCGGGGAGCCGGTCAAGCCGGTAAGGTACTCCGTCAATATATCCTTTGCCAAAGGCCCTTGCAAGGCAACCAAGCCTTGTCCAATGAGAACTTCATGTTTAATGTCCGAAGAAGACAAGTGCCTCATATTCCTAGCCATATATGCAAGATCCTTATCTTTGCACGCAGCATTAGTAACGATGTAGAAATCCTCGGGCCCATGCGAGGTGATGATCAAATCATCCACTATCCCACCAGTAGTCGGATGCAAAAACACCGAAAGCGTAGACTGAAACTGCGGCAGGCGTGTGAGATCCGAGGGGGTAACGAAGTGTAAGAAAGGCAATGCTCCGGGACCGGTTAAACTATACAATCGCATTCCATTATCTTTCCCCATCCACATAAATCTCGACCGGGAGAACGATTGGAAACAAACCGGTGCTGAACCATATGGGAAACATCAAACAGCCCGGCCTTCTCCCTGACCCAATTATGACTCTCTCCCACACTCTCTCCGGAGTAAAGCACGGGCATAGAGTACCCCGCGAAGGGAACCATCTTCGCTCCCTTCGCAACATGGAGGTCGTGGAGGGGAGTCTTCGCAAGAGTTCCAGGAGCAGCATCACTGTAAAACCTTGAGAATGCATTGAACTTCGAATTGACAGCAATTCGAAGCGTCGAGGCCAGTCTAGCAGTACGTGGGAGCAACATTGCGATGAATCGATGTGGATGTAGGGGGAGTCGGTGGAGGAGGGAAAGCCGCAAGGGTCTTGGACGAAAACCCGCCGGTATCGATAAGTGCACGTGATGCACGGTTTACACCGAGTAACCGCAGTTTGGGACCAGCTTATTATATACTTGAGAGGGTAGCTCAAATCTTGACGATCTTTGTCCTGGCGGTAAATGGGAGGAGATCTGCTAGATGTTTAGTGGAGTGTTGCTTCGGGGGAACTGTTGGCTGCGGTAAGGTGATTGAAACGGGGGTCACAAGATCTCACTCGTGTTTGCCCAGTTTCCGAGACAAAACAAGCTTTGAGAATCCGAGCCAACTTATGCCGTGGGGTCAGCCGAGTAATCTGTCTAGGATAAGTTCCACCCACACACGTGACACGCCTATTGGGTTCACCGTGCGAGCTATGGAGGGCCCCATAGTCTGCCCCCCCGTAACGCAAGAAATACCAAACTCCGAACTGTCACGACGCACAGAATCATGCTACAATAACACAAATCTCGCAAGTCAGGGTTCAAATAACCCGCAGACTGTCGCGGCGAACCGAACACTTGGACGCGTGTACTATGTAGCGTTTATCGAGTGATGGTTTGTGACAGAATTTGTCTTTTATTCCTTCTCGGTAGTCAGGAGCAGATAGATAGTGGATAACAATTCTCTGCCCATGGATTCTACCCTCAGCCCCTCCCACAAACTAATTCGGGAAATAGGCGTCGAAAGTGGGAATCAAAAAAACAAAGAACAAACAAATAAAAAAACACCCAAGACATAAGAGACCGGCGAATAGCGCACCACACAAAGAAAAATAGATAATGGCCAGCGATAATAGGAATCAAACGAAAGAAAAATGTCACTCATAGGTCGTGCGCTTCTTGGCTTTTCCATTTCCCCGAAGAAAAAAGGTTATCACTCCTTGGTTCCGAAATGCTCGCTAGTATCGTGTTGTGTTTTTGTCGTGTATGTATAAAGATTAGGCCTCCTTTCAAAGCACACCCTCCCGCCCTCTTTGTCCACCCACTGCTTGGAATGAGAAAAGAGTAGAAACCCCTACAAACAACATGAATTATAGGTGCACTTCCACATAGTGAACCAAAGCCAGAAGAAAAGCAAAAGAGAAAAAAATAGCAAACTGCAAAGCCATTCAAAGAATCAGCCCGCCCCCCCTTCTCATCCCATCCGTATCGCGAGTATCCGAGTTGTTGATTAGCTGAACTCTCCGATGCGAGCGAGATTCGCCGGAGGTTGGGGCGGCTTAGAAGTGGTGGTTTTTTTTTAGAAGGAGGATCCACCTCCGATTTGCTCTTGGTGAACCTCAAGTGTATCTCCATCTTGCATATCGAGCTGCATATCCATTAGTGGGGTGTCGGTAATATCGGGCATAACAGGGAAATAGGGGCGTGGGGTAAATTGGAGAAGAAGGGTGTGATCTGGCAAGATTCAAGAATCTCAAAGGCCAAAGGCAAGGAAGTAAGTGACCAGTGAGAGGAAATAAAAAAGAGCAGAATCAAGGAATCTTAGAAAATTGCCCCCTCGTCCCAGAACGATGATAAGGTCGCCACTGGAATGGAATAGAGGTGGGTATGATAAGAGATACGAATAAGAAACTGGGGTAAGAGAGGGGAAATAGGATCAAATTTTTTAAAAAAGAGACCTACACTCTCAGGCGAATCCCCGCCCTGGACGCGAGTTCCGTCAAAGAGGAATCTCACTGAATTGGGGGCCTTCCCCTGACGATCGCAAAAAGCATCCATCAACTTTTTGAGCTGAGTGGTTCTCTTGATCTTGAAAAAAACCTCATTGTTGCCATCGGTAACCTTGATATTCAAGTGTTCGCTGGCGGTTTCCTCCGGCTTGGGGTCGTTTGGTGCATCTGTCGACATGGTTTAAAGCGTGTTCGTTCGAAGTTTGGGGACTGACGCGATGGATTGGTGGAGCGAGGTCAGGTTCCGTGAGAGTGGACGGTGAGCAAAGGTTGTGGAGGAGCGGAGGACGAAGGCGAAGGAGTAAGAAGGTTGGACGAGCCTAGTGGTTGGTTGTGAGAAGGTTTTTGACTTAGCCAGATTTGTGGGAGGGGAGGGGCGAGGGTTGGAATTGGGTTGCTTCGTTGAGGAAGATCCCGAGACAGGTTGCCATCAGGCAGCCGAGCCAGGATGGGGCGGGGGCCCAGACAGGCAGCACGGGAAACCTTTGTGATGGACTACTACAATCGATCTTGCCCGACGCCATTGACTTCATACTAGTAATTATGAACTCCCACTCGTTTGTATCATAAATCCAATATATTGTACGAGTACACAGATTGCGTACAAGAATATTGTGCAATATCGTACAAGACCGTATCAAAATTATTGTATGAGTACAGACCCTGAATTGTGCACACAGTACTAGTACAGTGCCCTGTCTGTATCGATATCACTACTATTTCTCTATCACACGGCACTGGGGTTGTATGGACTTTAGATGCATTTCGTTCCCGCCTGGTTCTGCAATCGCTGTCATGATGATGACTTCACTGTTGAGACCCAGCCCTTTGTCCTGCATACCGCAGATAAACTCCATCTCCTCCCATTGATGATGGTCAAGAACAGGCCAGGAACATCCCATATTAATAAGATCGTTACTTCCCAATCAATCCCTCAAAGAAGCAATCATGGTATGCTCCACAGCCGCACATTAAACACAATGGCTACGGCTGAGCTGATATTCAAATGTCCACAGCCGACCTCAATAGAGGAAGCTTTGAAGACGGACCCACCATGTCATCCCCGCGCTGTGAGTCACATCTTCCCGTCACGCACCCCACTGCGTCAGGACTCTTACTCATGTGGCGGGGGGGGGACAGTGCGCCATTCAGGATTGCCTCCAGAAGAATAATTATAACGAATCCCGCTGCATAGACTTGATTGACGCCTTGTACGACTGCTGCTCCAGACTCTACAAACGAGACGGTCCCGGAGCGAATAGTACATGTTGTCCGAAGGAGAGCCTGTTGAAGCTTAAGATCAAGCAGAGGGCGGATGAGAGGGGATCTCGGGGGGCGGAGCTTCACCAGACGAGAAGACATTGATGCGGGAAGTTTCGATGTCATAAACGTGGAGACTTGCTATATGACAGATATGAGTACCCGGGAGATGTTTTCGCACAGGAGGGGCCATCCTGCGGGTTAACCTAAACTAACCCGCTTACCAACCTTCTATGGGTACTTGTCATCTAGATTTACAACATGATTGAATCCAGACAACTTTATTCATCGATGAGAGCCATCTATGTTTCGTCTGGGACGAGGCTCTGAAATTTACCGAAACTTTGCGCCGCAACCACGTAGTTCGAATGAGGCATGATAGAGTGAATCTCAAATGTAACAGTCCTCTACCTAACAAAACCAACAGGTTCGATCAAAGGGATTATAACCCGAGATACAAGTAATATGACGCACGTTCTCCTCCAGGGGAGAGGGGGGGGGGCAAAACTGAATGAAAAACACCGACCTATGATAGGTGCAGGGAGAAGGAAGACAATCAGCACTTTGGTGAGATATGGTGCAGTAAATGGCTCCCGGAACCAGGACACCAAAGACAGCAATGGTCTATCATACCGAATCTCGTTCCTTCTAGGCTTCTGGGGTCTCCCAGAACGAAACGGATTCATGATATGATGCACTGAATCACTAAATTCGAGTCGATGGAAAGATGCCGAACAAATGCTCCTTTTTGTTGCGATTACCACATCTTACAAAGGCCATTAACTAACTGGTCTACCGGTAGACCAATACCCATCCATCCACGGTACTTGAGCAGGGCGTTCTATCCAGCAGTTAAAACACTTCCATCGTGTAAGTAGAATATCGAGATGGTGAACCAGGGCAGCAGTCGAGTACCAAGAACGCGCGTAATCTACATTTACCAACGCATGCAGATACAAATTCTCGGGTTCTCGTATTCCAGTGCTGGTACTGTAGATGCCCCCCACCACGACCAACAGACGGAAGCACGGACGAAAGGGAGACACTGGAATCAGTGGAATGTGTTGAATACGGTAGATTTACTATAGCCCTAGGCTCCAATCTAACACTCTGGGTCGGATCGGTCGTGTATCATATGTGCTGCGGGCAACCACACAACACACAACTCATCAATCTTCCCCACCATCATCAAAATCCGTCTCATCAGGATGATACCAACAACCCCCCTCTGCACGCCTACAAGTTGCGCCCTATGTTGTATGAAGAGTAAGAGTAAAAATAGACAATTGAATGTGCAACCCCATAAACGCTGGGCCCGCAAAATCCCTTGGAGGAAGCAAGGCAGCAAGAATTAGGGAGGTAAACAAATCCTCTAAGGACACGTTGAGCACGCTGAGGGCCGGTCTTGCCAGCCGTACAAACACTGAAGGAATCAATCTGTACCGAGACTCTAATTAGCGCCTAAAAATGACATTGAGGAGGAAAGAGGTTTGGAGGGGATCTCGCGAATTTATAGCCAAGCGGTTGTGATGCCAAGACAACAGAACAGCCTGTACGAGTACTGTACTCGTACCAGTGCACTCCTCCTGTTTCTTCTCATTGAGGTTGGAAAGTGGGGGCAGGAACAATGCGTTTGTTTTTCTTTGTCAGCACCGATTCCTCCTGAACAAAGGCTTTATCCTGCCGACCTCGAATTCTGCCTGGACAGGAAGTGATCTGCATTGGACCGTTGCAACCATTTCCAACTGACTGCCAGTGCAATTCAATTTATCCCGAAAACGCGACAACCACTAGAGAACATCTTAACCACCAACAACCAAAAATATACCAACCATCGCCACAAGATGGCCCCTATGATGACGTCCAATTCCCCCGCTTTGGCCTTCGGATCACAGAAGCCAGCTTTTTCTTTCGACATGCAAAACTCCCGTGGAAGCAACCTTTTCTCCAGTGCTAGACCAGCAGCGGCAGCAGCAGGTCCAAGGGTGCAGGTACGTGACTTTCCTTCGTGTCCGATGGAGATTGGCTCTTGCCAAAATAGTGGATTGGGCACCGGAAACACAAGCCAGAATGCGCAATATGGGCTGACACCGTGGCTCTCTATTTCTATAGGCTCAACAAATGGAAGGAAGCTGGGATATCATGGGTGATGATGTACGTTACCTCTTGTTGCGATCTCGCACTCCTCGCACATACCTCTCCACCCCCCCACCAGCATCACCGCTGGCATTTGCGGGGCTCTGCGTCGCTTCACCCTTCCTCTCTCCGTTCTATCTCGTGGAATTTCTAGAATAATGGCTCATGGTTTCATCGATGCAGGTGAGCGACGGAGTCCGTAACGACAACGACGAGGACGACGACTCTAGAGCTTTAACCTCTGAGGACGACGAACAAGAGGGTACTGCCACCCTCCATGTTTTCCTGGTTTCTCCGCCCAGGGTATTGACAGTCGTGATAGAAACCATGCCCCACTCTCCCGGCGCCCCGGACGGTGGCATCTTCGATCAGGAGTGGCCGGAGGTCGATGCGTTTGCCATTGCACTAAACTCCTCAAACCTCCTCCAATCCGCAGATCCTAACTCGGCACAGGCTGCGACATCCGGCTATGACCTGATCGAGCGATTCAAGAATGTATCTGGGGCTCAACTTGACGAAGTCAAGGCTGCGCATATGCCAGAGCTATCGCACGAAAGCACCTCTGATGTTGTGCACTGGGAGCTGGAGCACCAAACTTGGGAACTATTCGGCACCCTTTCGTCGCATCGACTTGAAGGTAGAATTCAATCACAGGATCTACCGGCAGAGCTTGCAAACAACAAGTACACAAGTAATCAACGTCTACGACAGCATCTTCGTGAAACCGATGCCAAGTTCCGAGAATGGTGTTTGATTTTGCAATGGTTGTGTGCGTACGCTCCGGACCCGTCGGATCTCTTTGATAATATCGAGGAGCTTGGTGGGAAGGGGGGGTGGATGTACACCAAAGAGAGCCTAAAAGCAGAGAAACGTCTTCGCGGGAGAAGGGGGAAGGCGACTCTGGTCTTTGGTTCTCTTGGAGGCGGAAGGTCGGGCAACAAAATCACCGAATTAGATCCTGACGCGCCCAGTAGACAGCGAAAACAGTTGGAGAATGAAGATGAGGAATCCGAGAGATTCCTTTTCAGGGCTATCTGGGTGTTTCTGCGGAAGGGAGATCTGAAGGGTGCAAAGGACCTATGCGCTGAGATGGGAGAATTCTGGAGGGCCGCGAGTCTTGACGGAGGAGAGGAGGCGTGGGATCCGATGGTTGACGGCCAACGATTTGACAACCAGTCAGATGAGGAAAGCATGGATATGAGTGAGAATTCCCAACCCGAGGGAGTTACGGGCAACAGAAGGAGGGAGTTGTGGAAGAGAATGTGTTATGCTATCGCGCATCGAAGTGGTGCAGAGGACTGGGAGAAGGCAGTCTATGGAACATTGTGTGGAGACTTTGAAAGTGTATGCGCTCCTGGATCCCTCACAATTTTGACAAGGGAATTATGGTTAGCTAAAATGAGAAAAAAAACAGGTCCTTCCTGTCTGTGCATCGTGGGAGGACCATCTATTTGCCCACATGAATTCACTTGTCGAAGAGTACTATTCCCAGTATCTACTTAGGCATGGACGGCTATCTCCTGCAGCTACGAGTTTCCCCGCCTTTGACTCGACCGCGTTCCACTCCCGCGTCGGAAGCCTCGCTGAAGATGAAACTGTACTCTCTAGAATTATCGATTACCTGGCGTCTTTAGACCATATTAAGGTAGAGTCGAGGGTACCCCTAAGGGTTATCCAAGGATCTTTAATGTCTCTACGCTTTCATGAACTCGTCGATGAGCTCTATCGTCAGTTACTCGCCTTCCGAGACATTCCAGATTATGATCCACTACACGAGGAGGATAGCATAGGCGTAGACGTCACAGACTGCCGGACTCTTCGAATTGTTGTGCATATTTTACTTGTACTCCAACTGCTGAATGCTGGCTTCACCGAGGATACGCCCTTCCACGTACAGGCCGAAGCCTTGATCGCTGCTTATATCGAATTCCTTGCAGAGGCCGGTAAAGTGAAGTTGATACCACTGTACGCAGGACAGCTTTCGCCTCAAAAAGCTATCGATGTCATGGGCACCATCCTCAACAAGATTCGGGAAGAGCCGTTGAGGTTGGAGCTCCTAGAGTTAATGAGGGCGCATAACATCGACTACGTGGGGTGTCTGAAGAAGGGGATGGAGATCGCGTTGGACCTGACAAAAAACCACTACGAGAGCGAGCGGCGGCATGTGGCCACATTATCTGTGACCGTGGGAGAGATACTCGAGGAAGATAACTTGTTGATCCAGGGGTTGGAGTGGTTGGTTCTTGGGGGCGACGAGCTGAAGGCTGAATCGTTAAAGTGCGCGACTGTGATATACAAGCGGTTACTGCGTGAGTAGTTTTGGCTGCTATTAATTCCCTCAAAAAGATGCTTTTTACTGATCGAATTTAGTTTCCGGGCGTCTGGCAGCAGCAAAGAGGGTTTCCCAGACTATCAGGAGCACTGACCTGATTCCTGAGGGCGAAGATGTCAACCATTTCGCTGCCGGGGGCATAATGGAAGATGATGAATTCAGGGGTGTGTTCGATAGCGATGTTGATCAATGGGCTTTGGCAGTCGTGATAGAAATGGAAGTGTTCATCCAAGCACTCGACGAATTGGAAGCGTGGAATGAGCTATTGGGACAGAAGACAAAGTACGAGAGCCCCCATCCCCCCTCCTCCCGACCCCGGAACCCAGGTGGGCGTTCGATCCTAACCATAGCAACAGCAGACACCACCTTGATCGCGCGAGGAAGGCGGCACTCAGCGAGGCTTACAGCTCGACCAACCACAAGTTGGGCAAAGTGATACGATCCTGGCTGCACTCGACTCTCAGCACCGTGCCCCCATTCCCTCCCCAATCTCACATAATAAAGCCATCCTCCATTGTAGCTATCCGAAACATATACATCCCCGAGCTCACATTTGCCCTTCACGACGTCTACATTGAGGCGGGGAAACATGTGAGCAAGAACTTGTTGGGAAACACACTCGAACTGGCAACCGTCGTTGCGGATCCGAATGGGTCTGTGCTCAAGTGCTTCACCGAGACGGCGAGGGTGGAGGAGTACTTGAGGGCACTCGGACTGGCGAGTAGGAGCGTGTTGGGGGCATCTTCTGAGAAGAACAATAACAATAAAGGGTTGGGGATTTGGAAGGTTAGATAGTATCGATCATCACATCATACCTGACTTGTTTATTTGTGTTGTTTTTCTTTCGTTTTGCGTTTCTTTTTTCTTTTCCTCCCGGTCTCCCCGTCTCCCTTTTATTTTTCCACCTCACCTGTCCGTCCATCCATCCATCCATGTATACCAATAGAAATCTATAATATTATTATGATATTTTTATTTTATTTTATTTTTCTGCACAACCTGTATTTGTCCCCTTTCTTTCTGATTTGCCATGTTTTCTCGTACCAAATTTCCTTTTTTTATGAAATGGGGACGAAGGAAGGTGCTTTACGCCAGTTCAGTTTTGTCTTTTTTTTTTTTTTTTTTTTTTGTCCCTCTCCTTTTTTTCTCCATTTCTCCATTTAATTCGTGGGAATAACAATAACAATGCGGAGTTTATCTATCCCCTCCTCTGCCATTTGCTATCTTTCCCTTACCGTATCTTGCTGCCTTGCCTTGTCCATGTCCATGTCAATGTCCATCACTCATCCAGTTCCATCCACTCCTACGTAAGTACAAGTACACACGGTGCAGTCATACAAAGAACGAACCAGTGAGAATGTAGATGGAAAAAAAAAACCCCATGTTACCACCGAACCCCTACCCATTCATCCATCCATCCATCCACCCATCCAGTCAAATCACCTCTCCAAGAAAAAATCCCCAGAATCATCATACGAACCCCACACACACACACACACAGCTGAATCCATAATCTCTCCCCCCCCCATCACCATCACCAAGTAAAGTACCGGTAGGGTACGTACCTTTTATCCACAAACCGTACTTTGTGCTTTTTACCTCATTCTTACACCTCATTTCTTCACCTTCCAACGAGATCCCCCCATTTTCCTCACGGTAACTAACTACCCATCCTTCGCATTCCACCGCAACCAATACTTTAAGATGCCACGAACGTATCAGAATTTTGCGATGGAGATGAGTGATGAGTGGCTGTGTGTGTGTGCGTGTGTTTCTCTCAATCAAGTCCGGTTTGTGAGTGAAAGGGGGAAGAAAAGAAAAAAAGAGTCGGTGACCTAACCAATTATGATAATGCTTTTATATGGTTGGTCGGTAGAGGTTGAGTTGTCGATGCGGACGGATGGACGGAAAGCGGGGGGGGGGAGGCGGGAGCGAGTGAGGGGTTGTGTTCCATCGCTTTTTGGCTATCATACCGACTTTATGTATCATACCGTTAAATTCGTATGGTATGGAAGAAGTATACTAACGCATATTCCACTCCAATCTATCCATCCATCCATCCATCTATCGAAAGGGAGATAATTATGTGGGGGGTCTTGATCGGAACGGGGGAGTTACAGTCGCACACCGGTATCGTACCATAATTATCCTTCACGATTGGATTCTCGACCGAGTAGGGCTCTAGCTAGTTAGCTAGCTAGCTAGACTATGATAGAATTCAATTTCATCCAAGCGTTTGAATTATCTTACTCTATTCACGATTATCATACAGTACAACCTCTCCCCAGGACAGCAAAAGTATATTACTATAGTACTCCGCGCCAACGCCACGGTAGACTACCAAACGCAATCCGCACGCCGAAAGCGGAAATTTTATTTTATATATAGAAATCAACCACCGGATGCATTCAGTCTCCACTGGAAAACCGCAACGAGAAAAGCAAGAAAGGAAAAAGGATAAAGAATGCGCTGGCGATACCCCCCCCCCCCAGGGGTCACGACGTCTCAAGATATGTATGTATGTATGTACAAGTACGCATCACGCATGATTTTTTTTTTTTTTAAAAAAAAAAAGACCCTCCCATTGGAAAACGCATACGACGCACCAGTAACTTGACTTGAAAACTTGACGGTAAGTTCGGGATCGATCGCGCAGGGACGTCGTCGGTTCTTCTTCCTTCACCTTCTTCCCCTTCCAGAAGGGGGGCGGAAAGGGAAGGGAAGGGAAGGGAAGGGATACAGTAAGGCGAGGTTAGCTGTGCGGGGGGGGGAAGGGGGGGTGTTTGGGATAGATTAAGTTACTATACCTTGATAGTTATTGCGTGAAATGATCGCGTAGAGGGTTTATTTTTTTATTTTTTTTTATTTTTTTATAAAAAAACCCTTTCGACAATGCGATGGTTTTAAACATGTGCTCGAAAACCAAAGAATATTTTTCCTTCTTCGCGAGGAGGAGGAGGAGGAACTGGTGCGCTCTAGACTTACAGTGCAGAGCCGCTGACTCCCTCTTTCGCCGCATAACCCGCATAAACCCACCACCCCCCACTCACTCCTTTATTCGTTATGCCATGGTCCGTTTGTTCGTCCATTTGTTCCAGATGGGAAGTTTGTGGGTTTTTGTTTGACTTGTCCATCTTGATCCGGCCTTGGTTGCGGCGCATGTATTATGGATGGGTGGGTAGAGATTAAAAATGGGCGGGCGCGGAGATGGCAACATCGTATGCGCCGGCGCTTAGATAGACTATTGTTAATGTGGGGATGTGGATGAGGAATGAAAAGTTATAAGTACCGGTATTATAAGTTAAGCGCGGGTCACGATAATTTGTTTTTCCTTTTGTTTGTTTGTTTGTGACTTCTTTTTTTAGCCTGTGTATAGTAGATTAGGTTGTGTAGTGGTGGGTATGTACGATACACCATGATAATAATATTATGATAGTGATGATAGGCAAGACAAACCAAAGAAATTTCGTCCATCGTGTATTGTGGCAACAGGAAAAAGTGAGGGAAAAAAAAAAAAAAAAAAAAGACAAGAAAACTAACTATTAGCGTAAAATAAGAAATTAGAAAAAAAAAACCAAAATACAAGTTATTAGACTAATTTTCTTTGGTTCGTTTCGTTTCGTTCTTTCGTTAAAAATGTCGTGATCGTGAAGTGTCATCACCATTCGTTTGCCAAATAAAAATAAAAGAAATGCCACTTGGAGGAAACAAAAACAAACGCCCAAAGATTTCCCATCCACCCATGCTAAACTTGATCCGTCCGTTTCCCAAACAAATGAAAGGCATGAACAAACACTATGAAAATTAATAAAATAAAACAGTAAGGGAATAAGGCAAAACATGATGCGCTAAATATTTCACGAACAATCACCCGCATCCCTCATTCCTCGCCAGAGAGGAGAGTCTCCATGCTAGCGCTCATATTCCTCCCTGGTGCGACTCTCTTGAGGCCGAGTCCGGTGATTCTGGGTGCCTTCGGCAGTGGGTATGGACCGGCTGGTTGTCTCTTTCCTCCTCCAACTCTCTGCTGCTTGCCCCTTCCGCCCTGAACCCTCCTCTTGCTCTGCACGCCCCTCCCGCCCTTCCTGACCGGTTCGACAACTTCCTCGACTTCAATTTCCGCCGCAGCCTTCCATCTTGGCGGAAGGCTCCTCTGCCGTCTTGGCGATTCCTCAGCTGGTAAGATTGTAGGAGAGGTGGAGTACGCTCTCGGGGGGGTGGTAGTCGTTCTGTTACCAGGGCAATCACGCCACAGCCTTCGTCCCTGACGGGGCTCGTCTTCGGTCAGGTATGGTGCGGGATTGGTCGGCGAGGAGGAGGTTGACGATGGAAGGGGTTGCAGCGCTGCGATGTTATCCCTTCGTAACGAGTCGATGAATTGCTCCGTTACGTGGATTGAGCGGCGGTATTTCCCTATCCCTTCCATAGGGCCTAGTGGGGGCAGTGGGTACAACAATGGTGGAGCAGCAGTGGCAGTGGGCTTGGTGGGTGGTGCCGGGGTGGGGGACTTGGTGTCAATTAGTGCATCGTAGGAGATGGGGCTGCGGGTTATGGATGTGTGGCGGCGGTATTCAGGCCTTGGTGATGTGGAGTATGATGTCGATGGCCTGGACCGTACGGGTGAGCAGATGCCCGATGATACAGCCGATGATGTGGAGGACGTGGACGACGAAGATAGTGACGGGGTCATGGCTTCCGATCGTGGGGTTGTGGGGGTGTTGTATGGCGTTGCGGGTACTTCCGGGAACGAAGACCTGCACACAGATTTTTCCCACACCGCTCGGGAGTGCCGTTCGCGTTGTTCGCGGGTAAGCACCCAGTTGAATAATGTGTCCAGAAGACCCATTTTCGCTTCGAATCCAATCTATTTTTTTCCTATTTCGAAAGAAGGAGAAGAAAAAGAAAGGAAGGTCGGTCCTGGATATTTCTTTTACTTTCTTCCCGTTGGGCCGTGTTGTTGTTGCGGTAGCTTTCGTAAAGGTGTGTAGTACCCGTTGCTCTGCGTTGCGTTGGAATAGTAGCTTTAGTAGTGGTGGTGTGGGTATAAAGTGTGGTGGGTGTAGTAGTTGCAGTGGTTGTGTCGGTAAGGTTCGTTGTAGATCAGGGTTCACTTCTCCTTCTTGTAGGGATATCCGAAGAGACTGGGTCGACTGTTGCGGCCTTTAGGCATTGAGGAATTAATATGCTGGTTTTGCAGACCACCAAAAGGAGCAGAAGAAGGATATGATTATTTTTTTCCTCAATAAATAAAACGAAGAGGAACCAGGTAGATGGTAAATGGTTCCTCCACCTCTTATTTAAGGTGTGATGTTGGGGGTGGGGGGGGGAAGAATGAAAGGAGGAGTTATGGAAGAAAAAATGTGCGTATGGTGTGGGGTATTCGTGGGAACCTTTTAATTCAATCTTTCTCCCTTCCTCTCTTCCTTCTTCTCGTTAGAGGATGAAAGTGAGAAAGAAACACCAACGATTATGTATGAAGAGTGGGGAGTTGATATATTCGATGAGGAGTAGCAGTTGTAGAAAAATTCCAAGGACGAGGGGTGAGTTGATGTTTATGTACGGTAGTTTGTTGTTCGAAAAAAAAAAAATAATAAGAAGGAGACGAGGGGGAAACGTGTGAGTGTGCGTGAGTGTGTGTGTGGAGTTGTGGTAAATATTATGTGTGTGAGTTGTGGGTCTCCTACTTTCGTTGTTGTGGGCTGCGGAGGAGGCAGTGGTATTTAGCTGCGTGAGTTGTGTCCCCAACTCATCAGTTTTTTTGTGTGGGGGGAAGGATAAAGGTACTCGCCAGCGGACCAAAGAGGCATAGAATGTCTTTGACTGGGCCCTTCCCCCCTCTCTCTGACCCGGAGACAGATGGATGGATGATGGATGGACACAGAAATGGGAGCTGCCCTTTAGAAATGAGAAGAGGGAAATCTCCGACGTCCACTGCTACACCCAGATCTGAGCCAGACAGCGAACGAATGCCCGCACACGATGCGGTGTCTGCGTGGGTATAACGCTGTAGTTCACTGGTTATTGTTCTTTTTTATTATTTCCATTATTACTATCCTTATTATCATTATTATCATTATTATTATCATTATTATTATTATTATTGCCACCACCGCCCATTATTATAATGATATGTTTACTTCTATACATCCAGTACGAGCACGCACAGTACCGGTACTGTATGATACTTTACTGTACTAGTACTGTACACACTGCAATAGAATGCCAACTATTCGTTGCTCTGCTTGCCCGCTTCTGCGCTCCTCACAACCAACCTGCCAAAGAAGTGAAGGAATCCCGGAATCTCAATATCCCTCGGCTATCGACGAAACATCATCTAACACCCGAACCCACCCCCTCCCCGCCATACTCGTACATTTCATGGACAGCGGAATCGAAAAACGTAGGAGATGGGACTATCATTTGCACCACGGTACGGGAGGGTGAAAGGAAATCGAGAGAGAAAAAAAAAAGGGACAAAAAAAGAGACAACCAGCAGAAATCGGTTGCCGGTAGTTGATTCAATGCACTTGTTGCGCATTACCCGAAAGCAGGGTGCCCGAGACGACGATGTTCTGTACTCGAGTACCAGTAGTAGTGCCGGGGTTGTCTAAGGTTTCTGCAATGCGATGCCAACTCTACAGCGCCGTAACCACAACCAGAATCCGGGGCGAATCCAATGCAAGAATGGATACTTTCACCCAGGTCACCGATAGATTGATCGCACTGCACTTGGAAATTCCATGTCGCCGGAAGAACACAGTACTCGCACAGTACAGTACGGTAGGTTGATGGACTATCGTCTTATTATCTTTACCTTCCCGCCAAGCTGGGTAAGAGAGCTGAAGATGAGGCTGAAGCCTCTAGTTCTCTTCCGATAGTCCTGATAGGTAAGCTAGGGGCCATCCAGACTGCGGTAACGGTATCCCGCGTTACTCTCTCTGGCTTCCTTCATACCTGCTGCCACAGCAGTCATGCTGTAGCCAGCTTTGTGTCTAGCAACTCGCACACAACACTCTTGTATCACCGCTTCCACGGGCAGCCGCTGTCACACATCGAATAGCACCATTCTAACCACGGAAACTCCAGCCTCCTGCACTTCACAAGCCTCGGGAGGCTCGAATACAATCCACCGCCCATTCATTCCCTTACATCTTCTCCAGGATAACCCCAGTTCCACCCCAAATCCTGCAAGCAGGAAAAAAAAAACGGGACTTACTCCATTTGACAACCCTTCCCACTCACTCTTCCCACTGAAAGGGTTCGCATCTTTTCCCTATCCTTCCTTGCATTCTTTTGCTTTTCCTCCCTTCCCCTCTTCCATACAGTAAGCGTACGGTACGGTACTTGTGAATCCCGTACGTGTCAGGAAGACTTTCCCCTTCACCGCTAAACTGTGAGTGCTCGAATACCGGTACAGGTATCGTGCGGCAATGGAGTTACCGTAGGCGGAATGTAACGGACGGCAACTTGGGGTTTCGGTAGTTTGATACACGTGATCTGTAAAGGAAGAAACTGCGATGTAGCTGCAGAGATGGGAGGGTGAAGAAGAAGAAGAAAAAAAAAATCTGCTATCATACTGTACGGAGGAGGGTAGTAGACCCCAGAACCTCATAGGGCTCACTTGTACCTTAACCTCGATATAGAAACAATTACATTGTTGGGAGAAGATTCACCATCAAGGGTCCAAAATCACGTCATTCCACTGGAGCTTTCACTGGGGAGAAAGATAAAATTGTTTTCTGTTCCCCCCGCTTTCTCGGTAAACAAGTAACGAGCGAACGAGTGAAAAGGAACACAAAGAAAGAAAGACGAACCCCTTCTCCAGGACTCCTCAATCACATCAATCTCAACCAATGTCAACGTAAGTATCACTTATTTCTCCCCTTTCTCCTACCCACTCTCCCCTGTTTCTTGTTGCTCCCTTGCTGTTTTATTTTGTTCCATTGATTTTTTGTTTTATCCCCCGCGGAAATTCCAGGAAATACAGGATTGGGGTTACCGGCGGCGGACGGTATCTTTTGATAGCAGGAGGTGGTAACCTTTTTTGGGTGGAATTGATAGGAACATAACCTGGCATCCGGGGCTCACCCGCACTGAGCGCGAATCCCTTCGGCGTCAGAAAGGATTCACAATCTGGCTTACGGGCCTAAGCGCATCCGGAAAGAGCACGATAGCAACTGCTCTGGAACAACACTTGCTCCACAACAACATTTCTGCGTACAGGCTCGATGGTCAGTAGCCCCCTACTTTTTGTTTCGCTTCCCCTTTTTCTGTTTTCTCCCCAACCCCATGTCCTTACCGTATCTCATATTTCTCAAATATCTCTCTTCCCTTTCCACCCACTCACCATTTGTTGGTGTGATCCTGTGTGATGAGTGGTGGTGATGAATATTTTTGCTTTTTCCTTTCAACCCTCCTCCCCCATCACAGACATATTAGAAGAAGAAAAGAAAAAAAGGCATCAAGGCAGAAAATAAATAGTAAACACTTGTCGGGGTGGCCCGTGAAACATACACCATGGAATTGACTTGAAAAAAAATAAAAAAACAGGGGACAACGTTCGATTCGGTCTGAACAAAGATCTGGGGTTCTCAGAAAAGGACCGGAACGAGAATATTAGGAGAATAGCTGAGGTACCCCCCCTCTCCTCCCCCTACCCCTGTGAATGAATGGATGGATTGCCCCCACGACAGTTGGTTTAACATAAACTGATGAGACTTTTACGGCTCACTCCGCTCCAGGTGTCCAAGCTATTCGCAGACTCCTCTACAATAGCAATAACATCCTTTATCTCACCTTACATCGCGGACCGAACCGCAGCAAGGGAGTTACACGGTGAGATCCCCTTTGTCGAAGTACACGTCGACATACCAGTGTCCGTGGCCGAGCAGCGCGATCCCAAGGGCCTCTACAAGAAGGCCAGGGCCGGAGAGATCAAGGATTTCACGGGGATCTCTGCCCCGTACGAGGCACCCGAGAAGCCCGAGATCAGAGTGCAGACGGATAAGGTATCGGTTGAGGAGGCGGTCAAGGTTATTGTTGATTATCTGCAAGAGAAGGGGTTGGTGAAGCTGGGAGCGTAAATTAGAAATGCACGGTATGATACGAGTGCTGTATATCCCATGATTACTCGTAGAAGACAATACAATCCAATCCATCCAGGCTAGGGTAACGATGAAGCACGAGCAAGCAAGTGAGATGCTTCCGTACGGGCCTTTTTTTTTTTTTTCTAGTGTGGGGAGAAAAAAACCCACCCTTCCGAGAACACGGAGGTCGGGTGGGGGAACCTAGGGCGGCGCTATGAAGGCGTAAAAAAATAAAAATAAAATAAATGGGCCAAATTACGACCATAGCGAATCCATCCCACAAACATGGCCCACGGAAACATTGTGGGGGCACCCGAAGACCCAGACCAGACCAGATCCCATCCCTCGGCACAGAACCCAGTCAATTTCAACATAAGCACCCGTATCAATCCAAGGAATGTAAAAGGAGGCACGTGCACAGCGCAGCGGTGAGCGGGAACCAATTTATCTCATTAATTAAACAGAGAAGAGCGTCGCTTCGCTGCGGACCTTTGGGCTTCCGACACAATGAATGGGGTGAATGATATCCTGTGATTGGGGGGGTTGTGCTAGGTGTCGGTCGGTCGATGTCGGGCAGCTGGTGCGAGTGTGTTTTTTTCCTCATCCCACGCCCGTGAATGGACGGACGGATGAATGAAGGTCGGGAGAAGGCATACCATCATATGTTGGCTCCATCTCACCAAGTACGAGTACAGTTACCGGTATCCACGGGCACGAGGACCCCTACCGCCATCGTACTGTACAGTACTGTACCTTACCTACCGTTTGCCATCGTGCAGTGCCCCCAACTGTGGTACCGTATGATACAATGCGTATGATATGATAAATATATATATATATATATCATTCAAAAGAACAGCTCGTGATTGGCTGAGAAAGCGAATCATCATCACAGGATTTATCATCGTCGCCATATATCCAAAATACAAAATGCAAAAAATAAAAATAAAAATAAAAAAAAAGCCGAATTTCGAAAGGGGGTAAAAAATTTGTACTAGTACTTGTACAGTATGATAAGTAACACTTCAAGACGTCGAAAAACGAAACCACTTTCTAACAAAAAATCCGAATCCGAAATCGAAATCGAAAATCTGAATCCGGCCGGAGAAGGATATCACGATTTCACGATATACACCACAAACCACAACTACCGATATAGCATCATAAAAATGCCTGTACAGTACCACGCGTTTCTCGCCATCGGCTGCCCGGCCGGCTGGATAAAATATCGTACCGTGCACCGCTTCCTCGTACTCGAGCAGAGTACAGTACATATAATACATACATACATACATACATACATGCATATATAGGACCCGGTATCAAGGCTCTTGGGTAAATCGCCGACGGCGAAAGAGGGAAGAAAGAAAAGGTTTCAAAAGTACCGTAAAGTGAGGAGAAATAACTCCGCTAGCGGAGAAAGAAAGAAAGAAAAATAATACAGTAATGGGTTTTAAATTTTTTTACGAGTCCAGTAGAAACCTCCGTTCCGGAGCGCGCCGGTGCCGGATGGATAGAACTAGTTAGTTGTTTTCTGTCTCCGTTCGGTGCCGTGAATTATTATTTTTTTGCTCGTGATGGTCGTCGTGATCTGGTGATGCGGATGCGGAGAGTATGTATTTTGGATGTTTAAAGTCGCTCACGATGGGAAAATTGAATTGAATTGAACGGGACTGGAGTTCGCTGCGGTAGATCGCCCCCCCCCCTGTAATCTCCGGATTCTGTCTGAGTCGAGGGCGAGGTTTCTGGGAGGGATTGGCGGGGTAGACTATGGGTTGTTGGATCTTCGTTATTTGGGCTTTATTGGTAGTCCTCCCTGTTTGACTTTGTCGAGCTAAACCCACTGTACTGTACTGTACTCGAGTACAGTACAGGTACAGTACAGTACTCGGGTATGATACTGTGCTACGGGGCTGACGTGCTGATTTTCCCGCCTGATGATCGTACTTGTACTGTTTGGTCATTTGTGGGGTTGTGTGGAACTGTCAGGGTACCATATTGATTGACACAGTAGGGTAACAAATTTTTTTTTTTTTTTTTTACATTGTTGTGATACAGTAGTCAATCCCTGTTTGTCGGTGTCTATTCTTGCTGTTGTGTGTGAAGGAAGAAAGTTGCGCTAGAGGTCTTTGTGATCATGAGTGATCACTCGGAATTAATTAATTTTTGGTTTTTTTTTGGTTTGTGCTATGTATTATATGATACGGTAGACGGATCATGGTGAATCTCCTTCCCCTTCGTGCCCGAGGGGAGGGAGAGAGAGATAGGAAGCCCTACATTCCAAAACCTCGCGAGATGGACAACTCGTAACGAGCTGTATGGATTAAATTGAATTATTTTTTTCTGCCCTTTCCGAATCGCCTCACGTGTTTAGGGGACTTTTTTTTTTTTTCTACATGTCTCTCGGTCGGTCGGTTCGGTTCGATGGATGGGTGTCTCTTTTTTCTTTCTTTTTTTTCTTTCTCGCACAGAGGGAGGAGGAGGAGGAGGAGGAACGAATAGGCTTGAATTTTCCGACATGTTCTGGTCGGTGAGAAGGGCTTGGGATATTTGAGTTGTACTTGTATCGTGGTTTTATTGGTGGGGTATGGGGTATGGGGTATGGGGAACGGGGGAGGCTGGAGGCGGGGCGGGCGCGTAATTTGGGCGGAAGGCGAGGCGAGATGAGGCGAGGGGTCTTTCTTTTCTTCGATATCGGTCATCTTATCATACCTGTGATATGCTACGCTATGCTATGCTATGCTATGCCATGATATGTATGATAGATGACAAAAGTGATGTTTCTGACCGTGGGGGGAGGAGGGCTTACCAGCGTTGTATCGTAATGGGGCGAAGGCGGGGGTTTTTTTTTAATTAATTAATTACAAGTTAGGTTTTAGTTAGAGGTTTATGCAATGCTTGATACAATATGAGGCGGTTGTTTGTTGCTGTGTTTCTCTCTGCAAATCAGAATTTAATTATGAGACTTTTGGCTTTGTTTGCTATGATACAGTAGCTACAGTACCGGTATCATAGTCCAAGCCGTAAACAAACTTGCTATGTATGATAAAGTAGGTGTTGTCCAACTCGCCAACTTTGTCGCGGTTTGCGAGTGGTAGAAAAGAAAAGAAAGAAAAAAACAGTCAACTCGCACAACACAACAAAAACAGAACCAACAGAAACAACCCCATCACTTACGAGCGCCAATACATCACCACCGCCATCACCACCCACACAAAAAGTGTCTTTTTTTCTTTTCCTTTCCTTTCCTTTCCTTTCTTCCTCTTCTATGCATCGATGCATCGTTGATCAGAAAAATAAAACATCCAGCACTTTCTGACCGAACCGACGAGGATCTTCCGATCCCCCCCCCCCACCTTCTCGACCAGCCCATCTAAAATTTCATGGGCTACAGCCTAACTGGAAGGAACTGAAATGAAGGCGTTCACTCACCCAACCAATCCAACAGACTTCACAAAGCTCAAAACCTCCGGCGAAGGGTTGCGGGGTACAGTTGAACTGTAACCCTAGTCCTATCATACAACCGGTGACGTATTGCAGAGAGGGGGGAGGGGAGATTAAGGGCGGTTAGTTAGCTTCACGGCGGGAATTTTGTCTGCCTGCGGTAGGCAAGATATAGTCTTTTTTCTGCCTGCCTTTGCCTTTCGGTGATGAGGGGGGTCAGTCGGTCAACTCATGGGGATAACTTTTTTTTTTTTCGTCGTCACCGTTTTTACTGCTGCTCTTTGGCGAGACGTTTCTTCTTCAGAGCTTGGGGAAGTTTTACTTATGCATGATCACGCTTTACGGTCATGGTGGATTTGGAAGTGATTGAGGATTTGAATGTTTCTTTTTGGATGAGGGAGGGAAAAAAAAAGAAGGTTTTTTGGTCTTTCCTGTTGGTGGAGGAGTGAGAAATGAGGAGGAGGAGGAGGAGGAGGAGGAGAAGTGAGATTTGGGATTTGCGAGTGATGGGAGGTGAGTTTTATTTCGGTCACGAGTCAACTTGTTAGACTGGGGATAACGTGCAAAAGTGCTCGAATGGTAATGCGGAAGCTGATATGAGGTGGGTGTGTGCCCATAGTCTATGATATTGGGAGATCTATTGGAGGAGCAGATTCCGTAAGCGACTATTGTAATCTCCAACCAGGGCTTGTACAAGTACGAGTACCTCACCTCTGGAGGAGGAAAAGGCAACTCACTGTCAGATGTGATTGTCTTTTTTTAAAAACCGTACACACACACGATCGTGATTTACCGGTGTCAACCGGATCACCACAAAGCCCTATTCACAAAACTTTCTCCATACGAGTAAAACATTTCGGTCAATCACAAGAAAAGAAGAAAGAAAAAAAAGTTCCCCCTCCTTCTCGCAGTTGTGTGTCACATAGCTCATGACCAACCCACCAACAAGTCCTCGATGCCACAGTAACCAAACCCTACCATACTCGTACAAGTCCTAACTTTACCCTCAGCTGCGCTGCTGCCCATCCATCCATCCAACCATCCAAGCCATTAATTTTGATCTCCACGCCCTACCGGTTAAGTTAGAGGATCAACGGTTCTTTTTTTTTTTTTTTTTTTTTTTTTTTTTTTTTTCCTTCTTGCTTGGGGCGTTAATAAAGCAAATCATATCATGTGGTTGTGTACTGTACGTAGCGAGGGGTAAACTTATCAGATCATGGGAGGGGCGAGGAAGAAGTCCCGATATGATAAACTTGTCATCCCTTGCGCATTTATTTATTTATTTATTTCAGTTCTCTCCTCCTGCGTATTATACCTAACTTACCCATAACATATTATGAAACAAACAACTCTCACGCTGCACTAAATTGGTTGTTTGAATTATATATATATAATAATATTATATAACAGTTCCTGAACCTCACGTGATAACTTGGTGAGAATTGGAGTTTGATAATAATATGTAAACTATCTGCGCCTGGATCGGTCCGTCATACACTCCGTTACTGTGAAGAAAAGAAAGCAATTTTTTTGTTGGATTTCTGAATGATATGCTGGAAGGGTAGGTAAACCTTAGGTATTTCTGTGAGGAAGCGTTCCACACAGGGTTGGAAATGGAGATGTAGAGATTC